TGGAATATATCTGTTATTTACGCTTAGAGAAGAAAATTCTTCAAATAAAAGTTGCTTGTAATATTATTTTCTATAATCTTTGTTCCATACAAAATTTTCATAAAATGGCCCGTGTTCGAGAAATTTGACAAAATGTAAAAAAAATCTAATTTTTAAGAAAATTGTTCAAATAAAAGTTGTTTATTACGTCATTCTCTATAATTATTGTCCTTTACATAATTTCTCTAAAATGGACCGTATTCGAGATATTTGAGAAAATGTGCAAATTTAGAATTTTGAAGCTAACTACAAAACGGATAAAGAGAAAAACACCAAATTCTAAATTTAAGCTTTAATCCATCCTGCCGTGAATTGCTTAAATTTTGGGTATAGTCGGAACATCTGGGGGATATTTTATAGGGGGTCGTTTTTTTATTTTATGGAATATATGTTATTTAGGCTTGAAGAAGAAAATTCTTTAAATAAAAGTTGCTTGCTGTATAATTTTTATTCCATACAATTTTTTCTTAAAATGGCCCGTATTCGAGAAATTTGACAAAAAGTAAAAAATAAAAGAAAATTTTTCAAATAAAAGTTGTTTGAGATATCCTATATAATTTTTATTTTATACATGATATCTTCAAAATTTGAGAAAAAGGGTAAAATTTCAATTTTTCAGTATTTTCGTTGGCAATGAATATATAATAAAAATGTTTCTAAACATTTACAGGGGCGAAAAAATAGAGTGTACAAAATAACCAAAAAAGCCAGTAATAACTAGAAAGACAAATCATGTGTTAGGCACATCAGATATTTAATAATGTATATAGACTCTGTGTTAATTTAAAAAAATCCATTTATTTTAACATTACCATTATTTAATTTGCTTTATTCTGATTACATACTCAGCTATTTGAATATTTTTAATTAGCAATTAAGAAATAATCCACGATTATTCACGACTCTCGACTTTGATGTTCTCGAAACTTTTGAAGGTACTTGTTAACTATCACATAGCGAATTTGACAGTGACAGTAATCCTTTTATATTCATCTTCAACGCATATCAGCAACGTAATTATAAATATCCTCGCCTTATTAACGATTTTAAATATATAATAAGTACAGAATGTCTTAAAATTTTTTCGTACTAAAGTATAAAACAGAAAGTTTTTGCAAAGGGCAGGTAATATAATTCAAATACGGCACAATCCATAAATTAAAGCTGTTTTACGACCCTACACACCAAAATTGTTTTAGTATACCATAAAATAGCCTTTAAAACTTATAAAACATTGCGATATGTTACTGAAGATTACTCGTTTATAGATAATCCATCAATATTTTATGCATTATGTAAATTTTAAACTAACAGAATTAACGCCAGTCGTGGTGTTAAAAAGTGAAGATAAATATTTCAAAAGACGTAATAATAATTAAGTATCTATGCGCTAGACTTAAACAAAAACATTACAACCGGTCGATTTGCATAGAAAATTGAAGCGTGAAAATGCAAATTGACAAGAACGCGCACAATTTATTGTTAATTATTAACTATATATCACTTTCGATATCGTAAACGCCAATATCAAAGATACTATTAAAATAATGATATAGATACAACAAAATGTAGCATATTTCCTTCAATGAATATCCTATAAGTCACCCACCACCCACCAGTGAGTTAGGACTAATAACTTGCTAATTTTTCAGTATATTTGTCTACAACTAAGTGATAATTTTTCTATTAATAAGTAATTAGGACCATGTTAGCAATATTATCTAACAGGCAATTTTGAGGAGCATAAAAAATGTATAATATCCAAACAAACATTGAAGTTGTGGCAGTCGTTGGCCCTTTAACGATTGTGTTGGCTCTTTGGTAATTTGTAATTAATTACCCTTTAGCTTCAATTTTTCGATGGGCCGTTAATAGCTTTTCAGCTGTTTTCCCACTGTAAAATCAGTATGCCCCGTTTGAAATTTGCAATAACTGCCCTTTAACTTTAATTATTCTATGGGCCATTGATGGCTTTTTAATCTTTTCCCACGTGTTACTGTAAAATTGTTATGGCCCTTTTGCAATCTGTAATGAACTGCCCTTTAACTTAAATGTTTCGATGGACTCTTGCTGGCTTTTTGTGTGTGTCCCTCATGCAACTGTAAAATTATTATGGTCCGTTTGAAATACGTAATTAACTGCCCTTTAATTATAATTATTCGATGGGCCGTAAATGGCATTTTAATAGTTTCATATATGCAACTGTAAAATTGTTATGGCCCTTTTGAAATTTTTAATGATTGCCTTTTAATTGTAATTATTCGATGGACCATTGATGACTTTTTAACCATTTCCCATATGCAACTGTAAAATTGTTATGGCCTTTTTGAAATATTTAATTAAGAACCCTTTAACTTTAATTTTTCGATAGATCCTTTCTGACTTTTTGTGTGTCCCCCATGCAACTGTAAAATTGTTATGGCCCGTTTGACATGTGTAATTCACTGTTTTTAACTTTAATTATTCGATGGGCCATTGATAGCGTTTTAATCGTTTCTCATGTGCAACTGTCAAATTGTTATGGCCCTTTTGGAATGTTTATTTAGCTTAACTTAAATTTTTCTATAGACACTTGATGACCTTTTACGTGTTTCCCACATACAATTGTAAAATCGTTATGGCCCATTTGACATTAGTAATTAACTGCCATTTAACTTTAATTATTCAATGGGCCGTTGATGGCTTTTTAACCGTTTCCTACATGCAACTATGCAACTATAAAATTGTTACGGCCCTCTTGAAATTTGTAATTAACTGCCCTTTATCTTTAATTATTCGATGGGCCGTTGATGGTTTTTTAACCGTTTCCCACATGCCATGTAAAATTGTTACGGCACTTTTGAAATGTAGTAACTGTTTTTTAACTTTAATTATTCGATGGGCCGTATGTCGTTGTTAACTGTTTCCCACATGCAACCGTAAAATTGTTATGAACCTTTTGAAATTTTTAATTGAATGGCTTTTAACTTTAATTATTCGACGGGACGTTGGTGGCTTTTAAACTGTTTCCCATAAATTAAAAGAAAAAGAGAAGAATATAACAACCTTTTGTAGTATTGTATTAGGTTTAGAGTGGACAAATTCGATTACTCCATTATCTAAATTGTTTTTCACTGTATTGAAATAATTATCATACATGGAGACATTTTAAAAATTTACAATGGCTGCAGCTCATGAACTATAGATGAATATTTAGATAGGGAATGTAACCTGTGCGACACATCTATGAAAAAAGAGAAGGTCCTAAATCTCTTTTAGTCCCATCTTGAGGAGAAAAAGTATAATGTAATACAAAGTATCTCATATGAGAGCTATGTGTATGTGATTGGATTTTGTGACTGCAGATATAATCAATCCATTAACCTATTATGTATTTCTGTTTTATTGATACTAAGTTAGAATGAGAGAATCATATAAAGTATTTAACAATTGTTTTTCCTAATACTATTAATATAATATGAATACAAAAATTTTCTTAATATTTTATAGAATTTTTTTTTATTCTTTTGTTTTGATCTTGTTTTAAAACATTTTGTGTTTTTTGTTTTCTGTTGGTTTTTTTTTATTTTTTCAGTTTTGTTTTTTTGAATTTTCTTCTTTTTTTTGTTTTTTTTTTATTTTTATTTTTATTAGTAATTTTATTGCGCCATATAAAATTAACCTAGATACAAAAAATTAATATAAACAAATAAGCATTACCTACTAATTTGATTCTGTTACAAGTGTAATATGAAGACATTTAAGTTAATGTTATGTGACGCATTGCGTTATTAACAAAATTAACTCTCACATGAGATGTCACACTTTGATTATAACATTTTTGCCTTCAAGAATTAGAGTACTAATACTCATAATGTTGCATCCTCCAAAAGATTACTTTCTTTGATGTGTCTCACGTACATTCCCTTTAAATGCCTGGCGTCATTTTTATAGGAGCCTTATTGTTTACGTATGCCATTAAAATACTATTATTAATGGGAAACTGCTGGCAAAATGCAGGCCTTTCACTACTTATTGCTGGTAAAGTAGCGAGCCATATGCAAGCCCTTTAAATGGAAGTTAACTTTAATATTATAGGAAACTGTTGGCAAAGTGCTTATGCCCGGAAAATTTACGAACCTTATGCAAGCCCATTGAAGGGAAATTACTGGCCATTTGCAGGTATTTCACTGCTTGTTGCTGTAAAGTGACGACTGCCTTCTGTCGTTCACTGTGACAAAAAGATGTCTTACCAATGCCAAACCCCCAACGACAGGCCACTACTTGAAGTAACTTACATACGTTTAAGGGCCGTTAACTTGCCATAACAAAATGTTTGTTGGAACCTACTTATGCCTCCAAATATTAAAATAATGCCGTACTGACATGTGCGTTATTTATTCTATTATTTATATTGATATACATTTAAATTTCCTGATGAAAATGAATATCCCAAGAACTTAAAACTGTATCATTCTCCCAATAATGCAATAAACCTACTGGTAATTGATAAAAATTAATTATTTTTATTAATTTTTTAACTAAAACTCAAGTATGCAAGTCTAAATTTACTTATTTTGAAAATTTATACTCAACCTCTTTGTTCAACCAACTTTTTCTTGAAGCAATAGGTAGTTAAAACAGTTATTTCATTGAATGGAAGGTAACAATAAAGATTTTTTGATTAACTGACATCGGTAACCTTGACCCAAACCCTCAAATAATTTGCCCCATCTGTTCATCCCTTTGACCCATCTCTTCCGAATAACCTTTCGGCATTGTCGTACTTAATTTCAACGACTCGAGTTTAAGATTACTGTAATTCGCGACCTTATAACACATAAACAGATTACGTTAAATTTCGTAATCGGCGATTTTTGTCATTTTTAAAAATAAACACTTATGAAACGGTCAATTTTATTGTTAGCGGGTAATTTAAATTTTAAAAAACTGTCAACGTTTGCGACAAAAACATAACCTACCTTTATTCTATTTGTTTTTAAAAAAAACTGCAGTAAAATATCCTTCGGTTGAAAAAAGAAAACAACTACACACAATTTATATATACTTGAATAAATAAATAAATAATCACTTTCACAATTAAACACAATGCGGTAAAAATTTTTGCTAAGATATTCGTAAAATTCGGATACGATCGAAAAGTTGATTTACTTTTTTTTTACTTCATTTGGTTTGTGGGGGAAAATATCGATTCAAAATGAACACGGTTGCCAACTACACCGGGAAACGACAACTGCTAAACTACTGGCGGGACAAACTCGTTGCATTTGCCGGTTGGGTATAAAGCGGCGTTGCCATACTTTCTTTCAAGAAATCATATTGGGGTCTATTCTGTAACAATTCCTTTAAAATTTAGAGGCACAATCTTTATTAAAGTTAGTGATCTGCACATGCTCAGATGTCAAAATAAGAGCGGCACTAATAGTGACTGACCTTAAGTGAACTTGCAATAACTCTCTATTCTCTTTAACAGGGAGGCTATTTTTAAACTTGAGATAATTGAATTCTCTCAACATTTGCACGATAAATGTCATATGTCAACGTGAAAACAGTATTTTTAAAGTCATTGAAAACTCATTGACTGTTTCTCTTGGTTTATTTCGAAAGAATTCAAACTCCTAAGCATTTTAATTCTCTCTGACTTTTAAAATATAGTTATTGCGTTGACATATGACATTTCTCATGAAAACCTTGAGAGAATTCACTTTCTCTCAAGTTTGAAAATAGGGTAGAGACCGGTTGTATCTCAGAATATCTTGAAAGTATATCGCAAAAACAGGTCGATTTTTTTCAAAGGAGGAACCTTTCTATAATATCCATGATTGACATATGTCATTTCTCTCTTCTTCATCACTCTCACCAGTACACAAGGGCGTACCCAGTAATGGACAGGGAGGTGCTGCTGCCCCTTAGACCCTAGCAATTTGTCATAAAACATAAAAATCATACATCAAAAGTAGGAAAAATATAAAAATCTTCTATAATATCCATGATTGTCATATGTCATTCCTCTTTCCTTCATTACTCTCACCAGTACACAAGGGCGTACCCACCGATGGACAGGGAGGTGCTGCTGCCCCTTAGACCCTAGCAATTTGTCATAAAACATAAAAATCATACATCAAAAGTAGGAAAAATATAAAAAAAATAATAAACATAAGCCACTACCAATTTATAGAGTGTTATTATTAATAATTAATAAAAAAATAAAAACTATCTTTTTTATTGCTCTGTTCCCCCTCGTTCAGATCATGGGTACTCTGTTGCCAGTACAACTTAAATATAGAGAAAGTACCAAGCATCTTTGAAAATGTAATTTTATGGAGAATTCAGCAATATAACTGTTCATTGCTTTAATTTTCATTTTAACGCTCTCTAGCGGGATAAAAAATTTACGTAGTGTAAGTAGTGTGACACTTCATTTGAAAACTAGTTTTTAGTAATTTAATGCAACACGTAACATTAATCTAAATATATCTCTATTGCAATTGCAACAAAATAAAGATGGTAATAATGCAATATATTTTTTTAAGTATAAGTTCTTTTTTGATTTAATTAACATAGTATTATGTAGTGCATTGAATTACTAATAAAATTATATTATAAATGATTTGTCACACTTTACAATACGTAACATTTTTTTATCCCGCTAGAGGACGTTAAAATGGAAAGTAACATTTTCGGTGACGTGTCATATTTGGTACTTTCCCTATTTAAATTGTATTGGTTAGATTGATGGAAGGGAGAGAAATGATATATGACAGTTTTGAGGATACCATAGAAAAGTGTCTCCCTTGAGTTTCTTTCAAAAAAATTATAAGATACGGCCTGGTAGCTTAATGAATTGGCCTTTATCTGAAAGCACTAGAAATCGTCACATCTCAAAAAGAGCAGAAAGTTAAGTTTTGTTGCATTTTAACGTAACAAAACTTGTTTAATGTTTTTTTTTTTTTTTCATAAATTCTAAATAAAAATATAATTTATAGTTTCTATTTAATACTTCTTAGTAATTGAAATATTTAATTTATATTTTTATTAAATCGATATCGGTATCGGTCGATCCCTACTTGTCATAATTAACAAATTAGTTCATTTGTACCGCAAACATCTGTTCTATAGGTAAGCCGAAATATATTAAAAATTTAACATAAATTTGTTAATTTTATGTGGTAAATGTTGTAAATTAACAGGTATTTATTAGTAGGCTTTGACACTTAAAAAAAATAAAATAAATTATGACTTTTGACTGTTTAATTCAACTTATGATGCAATAAAATCGTGAAAATAATAATTTTGCAAGTACATAAGTAATTTGAACCGTTAAAATTACTTAAACTCTTTAGAAATTAAATTTTATATATTGATTTGTCGTAGAAGGCCACTATTATAGGTTTACTAGGGTTAGTCGTGGGTTAGTTTTGTTTCTATTAAAAATTTGTGGCCTACCAAATAGGTTATGTAAAATCGGAAGCTACTTTTTTTTAATATTTTTGTGTATAATTTGACAGAGCTTAAACTACTTTTATAGTAAATCTGTTCACATAAATCATTAAATGGATATTTAGACTGTCAATATTTATTGAGTAAAATAAAAACCAGTGTGCTAGTAGCAGGTATTTGCTCCTGTTAATTAACTTTTCGTGCGAATAATTATGATACATACACTTCGAAGACATTTCTGGTGGTACTTTCGATGTAGCTAAAAGCGCAATAAGAAGGAACAAAATTGTTGGACTCGACCAAAGTGACATGAATTTGTAGGATTTCCTTAGCTTTGGTGTGGGTTTTGCTAGCGCTCTGATTATTTTAACATTTTTGTCTTTCTACAAGCTTTATTAAAAACTTTGTAGTAGCGATGTTTGTTTTTTATAAATTCAATTAATTATATTAATTAGATATTATGTATTTTTGTTGATTTCTATTTTTGTTGGATTTATAGAAACGTGCCTGTTTCTAGAAGTAAATAAATATGTTGTAGACAAAGATGAAAAATAGAAAGCAAATTTGTTCAAAAAACTCATCTCATATGTTCATTCAAGACCTAAATATGCATGAAAGAACTATCAATAAATATGGTATATAAAAGAGGCTGTAACTTCTTTAGTTTCGATTTAAACCGTAATCATAGATAATGATATAGTATGTATTTGTATGTAACTAGATTCATTGTTCCTTATAACTTTTATAATTACCAAAAATTATTCTTAAAACACGAATATATGGTATATCAGAACTAGCGGTACTTTCCTATTAAGGGGGGGGTAGTGTTTAAACTTTTCTTGCATTTTTTATATTTAATTTTGTGAATGGAGAACCTTTCAAGAATATTGTGTGAAAATTTCAGATGAATCAGAGCAAAACTGACGAAGATACAGCTGTTTGAGTAACCGCGCCTCATACATGACTCAGCGCATCAGAAAACACCTGCCCGGCCCAAGCGCGCTATTGTTACCTGGCAGCTGTTTCGATCTCTATATAATTCCTAACCTTACCACCTACCTTTCTTTATAGAAATTTTATGTACAAACGTGTTTATACCTGTACTGTATATAATTTAGTGTAGCATTGACCTGGCAAGACATGGGAATCAGTAGTGGATCAAGCGCGCATGAGTAAACATTCGTCGTAGACAGGAACAAAAAGATGCTTTAGACATTATGGATGATAGCAACATACTTTATGGACCTGGCATCGATGATTCAGTGTGAGATAAGCCGATAAAACTCGCTTATGAACATTTTATTCCAATTTTTTTAGTGTTCAAAACTTTAAAGCGTTTTTCCCACAACTCACGTTTCCAAAGTCTGTGCCCCTTATAACTTCAAAACTACTGCAAGTATCCTTTTGAAATTTTGAACACCATTTCTGTACATAATTTACGAGGTAACGCTGGACAGTTTTTCAAATTTGTTAATAATTTTTTATTTTATAATAACAAATTAGCCTATTTTTTCGCAAGAATCGCGTTTTTTACTTGAAAGTTTTCCCAAAAAGTGAAAAATTGAAATTTCGAAAAACCCTCCCAGCGTTACCTGGAGAAAACGATTATCTAACGAAAGAACTTTGATTTTTTTTTTTTTTTTTGATGATCCAGCACCGAGTTAGGAGGGGCACTGCAATTCTACTTTTTTCCGAGACGCTTCCGAATAATTGTTGCCATTTCCGTATTTTTTAATATTTCTACATGAAAATTTATCACAATATTCTTTGAATGTTATACTTTAATGTACCATCAGTTTAAATAAACATATTTCAACTGTGTCGTCAAAAAAAAATCCTAAAATGTGCCTTTTTTGCACGAATTAATCTTACCCCTCCCCTGAATAGGTATTTAAAAAATTGATTTTATCTTCATACGTTCTGTTATATTCCTTTTATTTGTGACTGAAACGCAAAAAATTAAAATTCTGGTAATGATTAGTTGTGGAGACAAAACAAGGTCACGGAGGTTTATGCTTTATTCAACAACAATAACTATATTAACCGAATACCAATTTCGTAACCAACCAAGCAAAATCGAGAAGAAATGCAGGTACATGTTAGAAACTTCCATAAAGGTAGTAGAGAACAAGAAACTAGATGTTTTCCTCGCGTTTGAAGAGAATCCTCATCCAAAGGTGCTTTATTATTTCCGTTTTACTCGACGTGTTTAAGTTATATGGTAAAATATTGATTTATTTGGCTACTATCCTTTATCCTTGGCTCCAACTGTTTTTTTTTTATTTTTGCTTTTTACCATTCGTTATCATTTTCTTTATTTTTTTTCTGCTTTTTTTTTAAATTATTTTTTAGTTTGTACCATCTTGATTTTTTATAGTGTCTCGTTAAATGCCTTTTATTTGCAATACATTCTCATCTCCTCTATATATATCCTAAAAATAAAAAAAAATATATCTGTGTTCCAACAGCAAGGTATTGATCTATGATTTGTAGTCTTCAGTGTAGCTCTTTTGGTTATTCTACTTATGAGTACTAGTTGTGGGCTTGTATTAATCGCATTTATTTATTTAATTCCTTTTTTGAAGTTTTTTATGTCCACAATTATTCTTCTGCTACATTGCCTTTCAATTTCTACCTTTGTTTCCACATCGAATCTTATAGGTTTATGGTATGAAGCTATTTCATCGTCTAGCGTTCGCCTATAAAGGAGTTTACCAAATTTAACTTCTCTCATTTTTTTATGGGAATATTTAAAAAGTAAAGTATACCAAAATATTAATGAAAGTATGAAAGCATACGGATTGAGA